ACTCTATATTAATTTAGACCAAAGACAATCGAACAATTTGACTTCTTTTAAGAACTCTATATACGATTTTAGCTGATATAATTTTAAACATACTTTTTTATATATGCTATTATAATGTAGTTTTATTTGTATTTTAATTGATATCGTAGGACCTGCCTGAAAATCACCTTGTTGTGAGTGTAGCTTCCTACTGAAATACTGTCATAAATTTAAATGGTTGTATTTCTATATTATCAAAATCAGTTGGTCTCACGATGATTCTGTAATAACATCGAAATATAATCATTTAAAATTTCCGTCTTGCCTTTAATCCTTATTTGTGTTTTTCAAGATGTTCATTTTTCGGTCCATTTTATATTCTATTTATTAAATTGTTGGCTGTTCTGGCTATTATAAATTGGGATTACGAATTTTCGTAAATGAAGTTTGCGTTTCTCATATTCTTCACGTATATGAGAGGTTCATATATGAAAATTACTTCCACTTGTAAAATGATTATTTTCATCATATGCGGCGGCCATGGCTGCGAGAGAGGCTAAGGAAAGGTTCTTATAATTTATGGGTTAAGAGGGGTAAGGTTTAACTATATTGTATTATTGAAACAACCTCCAGTTACATGTGGTAGAAAGTATATAAACCCCTTGGCAAGAGTTGGAATAAACATATACAACCTCCCTTTTACTACGGCATAAAATAGTTCCAATCGTTGTGCCCTCTACCTCCTTCCAACCCACAAATAATGAACCTTCCCTAATGTAGAATTAGAATTGTTTCTCACTTAATTGGCGTGAAAGACAAAGATCTGTATGTTTTTTCCAAGGGTAGTATCAATTGTAAAATGAAACATAACCATGCATATTCACTTACCATCACTTTCACCAATTGTTATGTTGGCAACCGAAGGATCAACGATGACAACTTTTGTGTCAATTCGCCACAAAGTAAGGAGGAAATGTTCACTATATTCTTCCAACATATCGTTTGTAATGTTAACTCTGTAGTAAACAGTTCGCGGTTGTCCTGGATCCAAAACTACTGTGTAAGTTACTAAAGGAAAATCGTGTGGCTCCGTTGCTGTTCCATTGGATGGTGTTAACCTTTAGGTTGAACGGAATGAAAATTTACATTAAGATATACTGTTTGAGAATCCATAAAGCTTATGAGGATTTAAACACAATGTACACTATGAATCCTCGATATATTTTCCCTCGTGATTGAACAAACTCTATGTCGCTGACGGCTGAGATAGCATCTGGAAAGATCTACTGATATTAAATTTTCTTGTTTTAATTTTCCAACGTCAGTGCGAGTCAAAATCAATCAAAGTCGGAGAAAAGGACAAAAATCCTGCATCTTGTGATTACATTTGAAGTGTTGATAAAGAAAAATTCTAGCTATTAAACTGAGATCTCAACTATGTCCACTTGACTCATATGGACTGACCCTGTATCAGTTCTCTTCACGGACTGATGAAGAATATTATCGAAGGTTTATACACAGGGTGTCACAACAACAAAAAACGCAATAGAAAGTCAGCAGGCTGTCGTTTATCATAAACGTGGCTAAATACTTTTTACATCCGACGAAGGAACAGTTATTTAGTTTTTCAATATTCTCTTTTTAAATCGTAACGATGTGAAATGGCCACATACTCGTCAAATAAAAATTGCCGGTCGAAATCACATTCTTCCACCGTTGGCAATTGCATGGAAAACTAAAAATAGACAAATCCCAAGAAGGAATTAAAATTGAATGTTAAATTATCTAAACTAAGCCGAACTCGTCATTCTTCGTCGCAGTGAGACATTAAGAACGTTCACTAAACATGGTTCAATTAACCACTGAACAGAGAACGAACATTCGTAATCAAAACGTTTTATAAAACAAATAGCTTTCAGCAGACTCGGGTTCAACCTCGTTCCCAGGGTCTTTTTTAGAACGGCGCAAGGCGAAGGAAAGACCCTGGTTTCGGCTGGTCACGTGTCACCCAGATTCTGGGTTAAAATTATACTATGGGTGGGGTGGGAGAGGAGCGTGTTTGTCGCGTTTATAACAATATTTGCAACTTTGTGTGATGAAATTTAAATTTGCAACAAGAAATCGTGAAAAAAACTACAATTAAAAAATAATATTTATCGTGATGTGACTTTCTGCTCTATAATCTAGTGTCGAGTTACAATTCAAGCAAGTTGGATCAGATTTCAACTTATAGACTTGCCAAAGAAAGCACGCATGGGCGGCGTGGCAATATATTAAAGCCTACAAGAAAATATATATCTAGACCGACCAATGTGATTTATATTTATTTAACTGTTACTGATACTCGGACCAAAAGAATTTATTTATTTATTGATAAGATGTGGAATTGCAACGAAATAACGAGATCTTCTGATTTCCGAAATACACGACACCCAGATTGTTGATTATAAAGGCCTTATTGCTATTGGCGAACTTAAAGTGAAATAGCAACATATTTTTTTATTTTCTTATTTGAAAGAACTTTTAAGATTATATATAATACTCTTTTACCGTTTTTTCATACCTTGATTACTTCTACAAGTATTTTGATTGAAAGGAATGAAATGTCCAACATCTTGGATTTTTGTGGATATGTATGTCACGTCACAACAGTCACAACAGAGGTCACGCAATATTCTTATCTGGACATCATTTGCACTCAAAACTATACTCTGTCTGCCCTTCGAAATATCAAGATCACTCAAAACCTTTAAAACATCCACCAATCAATATTTGGTCAGGAACGAATACTTTTATATCGTTAATCCCTGTTGTGACCAAAACTACCGTGATGAGAAAAAAAATATCCAAGATGGCGAACATCTCATTATTTCAAGTGAAAATATTTCACGAACTAAGCGAGATATGAAAAATCGGTAAAAGAGGTTAATATATATTTTCAAAAGTTCTTTAAAATGAGAAAATAAAAATTTATATTGCCATTTCCCTTTAAATCCCGTATAAAGGGCCAATGCAGGACCCTTGGAATTGCTGAAACTCAACGATCATGGTATATGCCAAAGTCGAACTGTCTGTTGAAAATATACGGTATTAAAATCATGCATCGAAGATAAGTCAAACGACAATATATTATATATGTCTTTCAATGTCTGAGAATGAGCACTGTTTAGTAGTGTTACCACATTTTTACATTTTATAAATAGCTTTCGTTTTGACACAAGCTCAGTTAATTTTTCGCTTTATATATCTATATTCTTAACAATACAAGTGAGATTTAAATGTTTTGCTTTGTGGAATAGAATACCGTTATTTTTTAATGGACAGCTTGCATCGTCTCTATCATATCCAGGTTTGCTTGTGTGTAAATACATGTATCACTATGACGTTATCAAACAAATATACAAATATATTTGAGACTTGTTTTACTTAATAGTAGCACAATGACTAATGAACTAGAGATAAACAGATGATCCACAATGAAAACTTTAAAAATGTCAGTAGAAGTAGAAAACTCGAAAATTTATGTCAATATGTATGACTGTTTGTGCGCATCTCAGCATCTGACACTGTAAATTTGTGATATAGAATATAGAATATTAGGAAAACATGATTAATAGAGACCAAGAAAAAGGCTAAAGGAGTAAAGCCTGACTATAATTACCAAATACGAATTATGTACTAAATCCAAAATTTTAAAGAAATAAGAGACATATCTCTGTTTGGCTAGGCAAATGTTTACATTTGCAGATTTGCTATGCTAGACAATAAAATACTGTTTCTTTTAAAAACAAAACGCGTAGTAACAAGTAAATCGATGCAAAGCATATCAACGTTTACAAGAACACATCTAATATGCGTATTTTAAAAACATTACAAATGTAGAAATGATGACCACTGAAAAGCCCATAATTTAAACGTTTGTTGTAAAACCGCGCTCGAGTGTGAAGAGAGCATTGACAACACGAGAGAGCACTGCGAGTAACGATTTGCTTGGTTTCTTGACTTAACTGTTGGTAAAAATGTACGAATGCTCTTGTAAATTCAAAGCAAATAAAATTAACAAAAACTAGCAGGTATTTTGAAGTCAATATTTCGCAAAATTTATGTTTTTAACTATTTGTAATTTGATACTTTCCCCAAACCCCCTCGGGCGCTAAATTTTGGACGAGGCAGCGAGTCAACCTCGTTCCCAAGGTCTTTCCTAAAGACCCTGGGAACGAGGTTGACTCGCGTTGCTTTTGGATTGATAAACTTTGCATATTAATTAATGTTTTTTGAATTCCAAGCGGTGAAAAAATGTAATTTCGACAGGCAATTGTTATTTGACGAATATGTGGCCATTTCTCATCGTTACGATTTTAAAAAGTATCATAGAGAAGCTAAATAATAGCTTTTTCGTCCTATGTAAAAATTGAATTGTTTAGCTAAAGTTTATGATGCACAACAGCATGTTGAATTTCCATTGCGTTTTTTCATACACCATGTATATGTGAATAAAGTCAAAGCTGTTCAAATTCCATGGTCTGACACCAAATAATCCTTCTGTTCCAATGCTAACTCATAATTTACAAAGCGTTTACACTAAAAAATGTTAAACTTAATTGAATATGTAAAACTTATAAACGCCCCTGCAGTGTGGGGTTATTTATACGACTATCAATTTTTCTGTAGATTAGTGTTTCAATACTTGCCTAACGCTTGTGGTAGTTTCAAGGACATCGTGAAGAACCAAACCAACCAAAGCAAAGCCTGAATCTTCATCTGCTTCGTAACGTGACGATGAAAAGTTTACTCGAAGTTCTGACATAAATGAATTTAAAAACAGAAAATAAGGTTTTAATTACATAGAAATTCGTCGGAGAACCACTCTTAACCCCCTGTGAAGGTTTATATCAGATTGGTAACGCCGCCACTCTTAATTTCCCTGTGTGGCGCATATCCTGAATATTTTGAAAACAATCAGCCACCATGAATAGTTCAATACATTGAAATGAATCACTGTGATTCCGTTATGAATATTCCGAAACGAATCAATAAACCATCATGAGAAAAAGCTAAATATAAAGTATACAAGGACGCTTTGCCCGAATAAATGCATTAATAGAGCGCTGTTAATTAAAACTATTTTTGTAAATTGTAATCCTGTTTTCAAGAATGCATATTCATGTTGATGGATAGACCGCGCTCTTCCAGTTGGAGATAGAGTCTGCGTTCCAGTTATACTCATTTCAGGTCGAACACTACTGCTGGCCAAGAATATTTAATGAGTGCCCCTCTATATACACTGAACCCATGAATGTAACTGACATACAGTATATTATTACCAACATCATACTAAGCGAATGATTTTGTTCCCAGAAAGGAATTCGAATACAGTCAGAGTCAAATCCAAAGCGGGAAAACCTTGGCCTCTAAGCACAAAAAGCACTACGAACAAGTGGAAACATTAACAAAGAGACATAAATTGGTCCATTAGGTTTTCGTGCTATAGATGTGGAGTTTTGTCGTTGTCATTTCTGATCTTTAGAGGACAACGTTCATTGAAGCGGCTTAGCATGACACTAGACATAAAACAATGTAGATGGAAATTTGAGTCTAAATCTTATTTATTTATTAGGCCTATCCCGGAGTATAGTTGCAAAAAATGCAACAATAGCAGTATAGGGCCTCTCTGGCAGTAATCGAGCCTGGCGGCCTTGCAATTCTGGTGCACTTCGTGTGATATACTTACGATCGTTATCAATAATGGAAACTGTGGCAGTTCCATGCGTTCCAATTGTAACTTTCGCATCTTGAGTATTCAAGACAACAGAAAACTGCTCTGTACTTTCAACAACATCATCATCAAGAATATTTACTTGCAATTGTTGCAATGCAGGTTCTCCTGGTCTGAATACTATATCACGATTCGTAATTACAGTGAAATCAGACGGCCAGGTAGCTGTATTATGTTGGGTAGACCATCTAGTAAGTCAAAATAACATTAGCATATACGTATATGTATTACAGACCAGGTTATGCAAAGACGGCAAATCGTAGTAGCTGCAATTGCTATCTGTGTTCAAAAACACTCAAAAAAAAATAATCCAGAGCAAGAAATGACAAAAATTACTTGCTTTCATTTGAGCGTAATCTTTTCTATCATGGGGAATTTATATGAAATAATGGAAAATCTTTCGACACGAACTCTCTGCTAATATAACATGTCCCGACCCGGGGAGGGGGGGGGGAGGGGGTGAATAGGTTTTTGGATCGTCGGTTTCCGCCGAAAAAATTGTTCGGATTTCGGATTTGACGAATATTTTACATGGATTTGCGGATCTTATTAATACAGCGGATTGCGGATCTATCTAATATTTTGTCTCGGATTGTGGATTTTGCTTGCAATATATTTAGTTCGGATCCTGGATTGTGACTTTATAGTAGAGCTTTTAGCGGATCCAAATTTAGACAAGACCATTGTCGGACGGCGGATTATGCTTCAAATTTGGGCGGATCGTCGGATTTGTATACCCCTATTCACCCCTCCCCCCCGACCCAGCCGTCCAAAGTCTCGAAAGGCCTTTGACCTGAAGATAAGCGATAAATTCATTTCATGAATGTTTTTGTATTTGTGCTCTTAAATTAAACAAAACTTGAAACGAGAACGAAGAGATGTGAAACTGTGAGTTTGAATTCCTCTCGAGACAACGTAAATTTCGATTGTACTTTGCAGAGTGAAAATGAAACGATGACGCAAAAATGTTTTTTTCTGAATGGTCCTGTGATGCAAAAGTAATGGCGTTTGCGGTGTGTTCGAATGCCAAAACACGACTTTGCGCAAACTAACGTAAGTGACAACATAACTTGACATACAGAGGTTACATTGACCTAACTAAGTAACAAATAGCCCACTTTACCTGGCAGTGACAGGAATTGCAAGATTTCCTTGCAGTATTACAGGAATGTTCGCTGTACCATCATGTTCATTATATGAATACGCATCATTTGGAATATAAACACTGGCAACTAGATTTGAAACACAAAAATTTAGTCAGTACTAGTATAAAATTGCACAACTTCCGCTGGACTCTGTAAGGAAGGTGGTTGGCAAACAGACAGATCATACTTCAAGACAAGCTAATTCTACATAGCTCGTCTGAATAAGCGTACTAGTAACCGTTCATGTGTATAAATACGACACATTTGACGAACTATATCTTTAGGTAGTTAGTGGATTTTGCAACACAACTAGTATCGTATAGTTAATTTGACGACATTTCCCCAGTATTAATTATACTTTTCTAGCTAGTTTGTCTGCATTATTCGTCTGGAAAGTTCGTTTAGATAGTTTGTCTTGTGTTTATACTGAGACAGCTGATCGAATCATCAGTCGGCTAAGTCGCCTTGAATGATGATCCATTTCTGGATAAGGTGGACTTCAATGATTTGGCTTCTGCACTTCAATTGGTAATATTAGAATGCTGTTTTTATAGGGTTTGTAATCTAAGTGAGTATATATACATTTTCAGACCTAATCAGAAACGACCGCGAAAAATGCAGCACAACGTCCTCTGGTAGGAATTGAACCTACGGCCATGCGATTCTGGAATCATTCATTTCTGGATAAAGCGTTCCAGTATCACGTAACTGGCAACAGAATCGGAAAACCAGAGATAACATACCGTCATCATCAGTGATAATGATGGATGCAGTGTTTCCATTTGAAAATACGATATCCGTATCTGTGGTGGTTAGTTCAACAGATAAAGTCTCTGTGTTTTCAATCAGAGTATCTTCCAGTATCTGAATGGGAACATTCCTTTCCTGCGGGTCACCAGGGTTGAAAGTTAACGACACGGTGTTTTGTTGATAATCATTCCCTTGAGTTGCACTTTGGTCCCTTGTTGATAAACTGAAAACAGAGAAAAGTTTCAATTTGTTGATGTGTTTATGAAATGAAATAAATTATTGAAATTAAAACTGTGAATAGAAATTCACTTCGTTTGTTTTCGCCTTTCCGTACGGCTTGCAGTGGCGTCGTCACTTTTTTTGGATGCAGGACGTACTATATAATGCGTGAGTCACAATGCTAAGAAGGTACGGGGGCATGCTGCCCCGGTAAAAACTTTGCTTCCCCAAAACGGCATATCCTGCATTGTGAAGCTACTTGGATAAAAATGTAAAAGTTTACAGTGTCAAATGTTGATTTCAGAATACTTCACAATTTAATGTGAGGTTAATCGACTGCTATTTTCTGAATTGTAAATCCCATGATTACCTGAAACTAGAAAATTTGCATGTCGAATATATAATATATATAGTTTCTAGTTTTCTAGTTTCAGAGAACCATGATTGCAGTGAAGTATCTAATAAATCACCTTAATTGCACAGGCCTCTGGAGTTGTCCTGCGACAATGACTTGAACATTGAGTTGAGTTAATTCTTCTTCAGTGGAATATGATGATTGAGAAAATCGAACGGATACCACTTGAAAACAAAAAAATAGACATCATTTAATAAAAATATTAAAGAATATTTTATTTTACTTTGTCAAATGACATTTGAAATTGATCGAACAATCATAGTTGAGAGAAACTGGACACTATACTGTATTTATGTTTCTATTCACATGATATTGTGCATTAGTTTGCAGGGTTAGTGAAGGCATAATAGTATTCCCATATATTGAAGTAATTATCTATTTGCAACTTTACGACAAAGACTTTGTGCTCTCATCCAGGTCTCTTTCTAACACATCTTGGAACTCGATTGTTTTGGAGATCTCCGGCCTTCCGTTCCATGTTAATTTTCAATTAATTATGATTAAATTCAGATGGAAATTACAGTAACGTGTTGTAATATTAGTGCATCACTGAAATCCTTACCATCATTGTCTTCTATAGTAACAATTGCGACTGCAGGACCAGCTGTTACTAAATGAGGTAAACTTCGTGATGCAACAGTTACAGAGAATGTTTCATTATTTTCGAGAATCCCATCTTCCGAAATAGCGATTGTTTCAGATATTACAGTAACGGAAGGGAGAATAGTGATATTTTTGTCCACGATACTGGTGTAATCCGATCCAGCCGTTGCTCCAATATTTGCAGTATTCAGCCTATCAATAGATCATGTATTTTCTATTAATAACGAAGACTTTTACCGCAATAAAAGAAATAACCATTTAATAATATTTTTAAAAGATTCATGTTTAAATTTTCTGATTGGCTAACCGCCAATTGTGAAATCATCAAATAATTATGGAATTTTGAAATACTATTCAACGGAGTGACGTCATAACGTTAAATATGAAAATTCATATTCCACTTTACGACGTTATCGTGCTTGAAAATACGAATACGAATTGTGGAAACACGACCAAAACAATATTGCGCCGCCTTCGGCGACGTTTCCAAGTTTGAAGGAAACAACTTTTAAATATATAAGGAAAAATATCGATGAAAACCGCGACAAAATGTTTTGAAAAATCTTAATAAGGTACTTATGAAAGAAGAAAGGAAAGATTGTCTGCACATAAGGAAAGAACTGGTCATTATTATGACAATTTCAACCCACGGGTGCGGATATTAATCTTTTTCAACTTTTAAATAAATAATGAAACAATTATTGAATTCGATTTTTGCAAGATATGAAGAATTATCAAGCCCTCAGTTCGTGTTATCAACTTCATCCTTCGCCTTTGGTTGATGACACAAACTTTGAGTTCGATAATTTTTCATGCTCAACCTCATTCGCAAATTGTTAAAAATACACCCGAGCCAGAGATCAATATGATACACGCGTCCAAGGCAACGAAGTTTCAAACGATGTATAATACAGTACTTTTACAGCTTGTATAACACTTTTACAGCTTTTATTATTAGCATGACAAAATTACTGAATGCTGATTGGTTGAGAGGAGTACAGTTATTTCTCAAAGATTTTCTCAAAACAAAAAAATGGCGGAAAGGTATTTTAAACACAAATGTGAGATGAAATTGCCCTATAGAGGAACTAGATGAAAGTATGAACAAAAGCACCAAATTTTGCTTTAACAAAAGAACTAAATTAAAATACGAACATAAGCAACAAATTTTGGTTGAAAGTATGGCAGGACTGGGCTTTGGCGAGAGAATATGCTCATTTTACGTAGAGTCCCACTCCATTTATCTCTATGTTATACGGTACAAATTAAATTACATGAAAAAATATTATAGGTTGGCGGTTGCAATGTTTACTCAGACAACGCTGAAATGTTTTTATCGGTAGCCTTACTATATAATTAAACTTAGCATCAAAACTGTTGCACTTGACACTAACCCGTTTTCTTTAACCACTTATCCTTGCATATTACGTGAAATCGTTTGTCAGTACTGCGCTGTATAAGATCCTCTACCACTGAGTGCTTAATCTTGCAAGATGTGAGATTTTTACCTCCATGTATTTAATGTCCTTACCTGGCAATTACTGCTACATCTCGTATTCCTGTAACATCAAGTCTCACAGTGATTTGACCAGCACCTTCATTAACTTGATAAGTACTGGACTGGAATTTCACGGTAGCAACTGTTTAAAAAAGATAAAAATCTTAGGTTTAAGAGTTCGTAACAACCATGCATAATATATAAAATATGATTGTTTTCATCGTCACACTGGCCTTAATGTTTTGAGATGTTCATAATTAATTAACATGGTCAATAACCACGTTATTCGGCCAAAGTTTGTGATGTAGAAATCGTTTTGTTTGTGTTCGTGGAAGAAAATAATGGTTTTATACATGATAATAAATTATGCAATGCCATTGTCTTGTCCGATCATTTAACCTAGCTGTTGCCCAGTATTAACATAAATTCAAACGTTTTTTGAATGGTGAAGTCGCCCAAAATTATCACCAAACACTATCGGGGGTTTGCCAATTTTCGTGACAGTCACTATTCGTCGATTGGCTATGCGGCATCAATACAGAAAGTGATATCAACAAACAAGACGTAGTTCCACGGTGCGATGCACTGGAGCATGCGCAAAACAAATACATTTTTGAATAAATGATTTCAAACTAACGAACAATCTAACAAACCTACACCGCGAATATATACTGAAGCCCGCCGCACACGAGAGCAACTTGCTGAGCTAACTGCCTCGCGTGGCAGCTAGCCCAGCACGTTTTTCTCGTGTGCGGATAGTTTTCGTGAGGATTTAATCTCTCGAGGCCTTGAGGAAAATATCGATCGTGTTTGGTATTTTTCACCTCGCGAGGAAAAAATCTCAACGTCTGCGGATGTTGTGAGCTTAGTGCTGAGCTGCTTGCATCAATCAGCCAATGAGATACAATAGTCTCTTCATGTGACTTTGAACACAATAGAGGAAAATGCAAACGAATTTGTCAATTATGATTTATGTTGTTGTGGAGACGATTTCCAAACGTGTGCGGTGAAGATGCATAGCTGAGCTAGCCGCCACGCGAGGCGATTATATAGCTCAGTAAGTTTCTCTCGTGTGCGTATTCATTTGGTGACCTCTATTGGGATAAATGTTAGGTACATACCATTATTATCTTGAATAGTAACTGTTGCTGGACTGTTTATGATTTTCACATCTGAATCCGTAGTTGATAATAAGACAGAAAATTGCTCGTCTTCCTCTACACGATTGTTATCCACCAATGGTATTCGCACTAATTGTGGACCATTATTTCCAGGAGAGAAAGTTAGTTGTTGAGTATGAGTACTAAAGTCCGCACCAGCTAAAGCAGTTCCAGGACTGGTCACAACACTAAATATTATATAAATAATATTAGCCAATTACATTGACAACACGTCGATTAATGGTAATTAATATTCAATATTTTCCCTCCCAGCTGGTCTGCTTAAATCATGCACGTGACGCAAAAAAAATAATATGCAGAACTTAAAACGCTAGCAAGGTATGTCTATTCTACAGTTTTATCTCAACCTCGTATCGTGTGTAATGAAATAGATCGAAGAAATATTTACTTTCCAAAGATGACCTTATTTTGTATTGGGTAAATATCGGTTCAGGGACGTCTCGAAGCCATCAACATTGAGGGGGTGTCGTCACGTTTTGACCAACATTTCCTTGGATTTTGACCAAGTCGTACGAATTTTTCCCGAAACTTTTGTCGACGGGGTGGGCTCCGCTCCCCAACGACATCCCCCCCCCCCAATGTTGATGGCTTCGCAACGTCCCTGAACCGAATTTTACCCAATACAAAATACTTTTGACCCCCCGGGGTCAAAAATATTTTCTGGAATAAAATAAGCATTGTCGAAAAAAAATTTTCCGGACTAACATAAGCATATTCAAAATTTTTCGAACAAGATAAGCAAGGCTTCCAATTTTTTCGTGCGAGGTTACTAATTCACCCCGGCTATTTACACCCGGGGAAACGAAAGCATTAGCGAAGTCTAAAGTTCATCATTAGGGAGTTTAAGATCTACGACGCGGCCGGCTCGACGACGCGCTTTCAAAACAAAAAAATTTGGTGTTTCCACAAACAATAGTATTACATATATGTTTTTATTGCCATGCAAACCTACAAAGAACTTACAAACAAATATGTCATGCAAGACGAAAACTGCCAATAATTCGCGGTCCCAGGAGGGTCATGTCTAAAAGTACACACGAGTGACCACGAGTGACCACGAGTGACCACGAATGACCACGAGTGACCACGAATGACCACGAGTGACCACGAGTGATTTCTGTGTTTAAAAGTCATAAAATAATATTTAAAAACTCATTAATAATTCATGAAGCAATTATCCAAACTTGAGTAAGAAATTAGTCACATGCATACATCTTTATACCAGCTAAAGAACACTTTAACAAAAGACCATTGTTATGCAAACTATATAAAGATTTTTATATAAAGATTTTTATATAAAGATTTTTATATAAAGGTTTGACTTATTATGCATACGTTTTTGAAGTCATTTAAAAAACTCGCGGGTCGTGTTTTATTAGGTCTAAAGCCACTCGCGCTGCGCGCTCGTGGCTTTAAACCTAATAAAACACTCCTGCTCGTTTTTTAAATAGTACATAAAAAACTATTTTAAGGTGGCTCCATAGGGTTTTTGCATTATACTACACTTTTGTACCCAGAAAACGCCTGTTTCTTAGCTTCACTTTATATGACACGAAGACGAAATTTATTGGACACATTGACAATGCTCTCCTGAACATTGCAATTTACTACTTTTGCGCTGAAAGTCCGTTACCATGGTGACAGCGCGCTTAGGATAATGAAGCTCAAAATTTGTCTTTTTCCGGCCGTTTTAAACATTTGGATAAAAGATCTTTCTCGTATAATGATTTTTTTCTTCAATTTTAAAAAATTCTATGGAACGTTACTTAGATTATTCCCTGCAATAAAATTTTAAGAAAAAAGGATATTGAGCTTGTTTAGCCGATATTAAGAAATTTGCAAAGTTTTAAAACAATTTACCGAAGGAAAAGGGTGAAATTTAGGTTTAATTTGGGCATTTTTTGCGAGATGTGACGTGTACCCACCCCAAACCCCCCGCCCCCCCCTCCCACACACACACACACACACACAACTGTAAAACTCAGAAAAAAATCCGGTAAAATTCCAGTTAAAATTTGATATTTTCAGTGAAAATTTGCGTAATAAAGTAATTATTTTAATTGTGTGAAATGATAACCATTTTTGTAAAACATACAGTCAATTTACATCCAATTTGTTTGCGAATTTGCTTTAGAAAACGCCAGAATTGCAGTCCTAGAGCTTCAAAAATGGAACAGTTTTTTGAGGGAGGACTAGCCCAAACCCCCGTTTTCTCCTGAAAGTAAGCATGACAGTGCAAGTCAATCACAAGAAGCTTTGATTATAATTATTACACTTTAGGTAAATATTTATTAAAAATTCAAATTTCAGGTAAAATCCTCCGACAACCCCCCCCCCCCCCCCCCCC